GGTGAACGGTAGGGGGGGGGGATGGCAAAGAAAGTCTGGGGTGGCTTGATTGGAAAGGACAGCCTATCCGCAATTTACGATTTCAAGGAGGGATTCCATGTAGATAGGGATGGAAGGTGAGAATTCGTTTGTCTTTCAATCCTTCTCTTTCTCATTTTTACAGTAAAGAATTACTTTACTTTTTTTTCTATCTTTTGTATTTATATGTAAAAAAAGAAACAACAAAAAAACTTCTTTGAACATCTATTTATTAAATATTTTCTAATCGTTTAGTCTTGTTGAAATTTTTGCTACCCCGTTATAGGATCGTGAGCCACACTTTAGGAAATCCTGTTATTAATATTATCGATAGATATTTTCTATTTTTTTTTTTTTTTTTAATATAAAATTAAATAAAAATAATATAAAAAAATAATATAAAAAAATATATGAATAGTTAATATATATATTTATTTAATATACTTTTATATAAATATATATATGTATTAATAATTTAATCAACGGTTTTGCCAGGTGTTCACATTTAGTAACATGGATGGGTGATTCGTCCGAAGATACAAAAGCCAAAAACCGTGTGCAAACCGTTGGCTCAGATAGGCGGAAAAAAAAGACGTGACCTCTTCGATAGTATTGAATAAATGTGAGAAGGTGTTAACAGAGAGAAAGGTGCCTTGAAACCATAAAAGAAACCCATAAAAAGACAAATATATAAATAATTCAATATATTTCATCGAATTGTTCTGTTTCGATTAAGATTTTCTACTGGAAATAATGGAAACAGAATAAATAAGTGAATATAAGAATTAATTGATGAAAATTCGATGTGTTTAGAAACGAGGCTGCGACAGGTAAATCTCGGATTCTCTGTAAACGTCAATTTCGGTGATATTCGACGTGGGTCGTGTTTTCCGGACGAGTCATCATTAACGATTGATTATCGTGAACTTCGATGGCATGTCCAAGTCGATCAAACGTGGGTCAAAGGAGAAACATCGACGTGAGATATTCTCGAAAAGCACGAAACACACGGAGACCGAAAGATTCTCATCCTTGATTACGTTTGACGTAGACGTTGATTGCTCCATCTTTATTCACGTACACATACACATACGTGCATACATGTATGGTAAGATCCTTCTGACCTCAGTGTTCTGTCTTGATTATATTCTATCTTTCTCTCTCTCTCTCTCTCTCTTTCTCTTTCGTGGTATTTCGACAAGTCCTTAAATTATAAACAATGTTAACCAATGGTAAGTTTGATAGCGAACAAGACTTCCCGTCGACCAAAGGCAACTCTCCTGTCTTAACCGAGTGTTCGAGACAAGCGAGCTGCTAAGTTTTCACTGTCTCTCTCACACTCTCTCTTTCTCTTAGTATGCCCTCTCTTCCTCTTGAAACAGCAAGTTTGCACGTGACCATTTACACGTCTACCTTCTACATCAAGGTTAACGTATATATAAACGATACGTACTTTCATATTATTTAGCAATTAATTATTAACCACGCGAGAATGAACAAGTTTCATAGCCGCAATTAGATAGAAAGAGAAAGACAGAGAGAGAGAGAGAGATTTATCTTATCATAGAATAATCAAATGGATTTAGCGAGATAGAATTTAACGAAAGTCCGAAGATCAGCAAGTTATTGTAAAAAGAGAAAAATGACGATGATGATGATGATGATGATGATGATGATGATGATGACGATGGGTAATTATGATGATGTCTAAAAAGGTCAAATGGTCATTGTCTTTAGTCATTTTCGATGTCGTGGCTAAGAAGTTCGGTATTCTGGTGTTCTAACTTACGAATTAGAAGAGAACTTCATCGATCGATGAAATTTGACTCTCTAATAGAGAATAGAAGGTCGAGATTTCTGTTTGAATTCGCGCGAATAAAAATCATACCTTTCTCTACTGTTATGTCTTTTTAAAACTAAATTTACAACGATCTTACATACAAGGTGTCCACTTACAAAACTTTAAAATTCTAAATTTATTATCTACTCTACATTTGGTTAATATTTAATAATATTTTAGGTAATTATTAAAATTAACTGGGTATCTGCAAGAATAGCAAGGGAAATTACACAAACAAATATAAAATATAATTTAAAAATTATTAAAAATGCAAAATTCATAGTTGTATATATATATATATTAAATGTAATATCAATTTTTCTTCCAAGTATCCATTCATTTATCAATAAATTCTAAATATAATACTAACCCTAAAGGGTTGCATTAAATTTAATTCATAATTGTTCTTTTCTTGTTAAAGTATCTTTTGAAACACCTTCTGGTGTGTAGATTAGTTTATAGATATGTCAGATGATCAGAATCAGAAATTTCGTAATAAAGAAACATTTCTTGTCAGAGGAGTTCGCGTTTCTCTCTTTCAAATAAATCCCCAAAAAGATATGTAGAAAGGAAAAGAAAAAGAGGGAGAAAAAAATAAAGAAGAAAATAATGAAAGAGAGAAACTTTGGAGACTCCAACATCAACGCGTGTACGTTCTACGCGACGTGTCGGAGCAGCGATAAGCGAATCTCTGTTTACACTTAACCAACAAACGAGCAGATGTACGTGTCGCACGTGTAATTCACATACTCGTGTAAGTACACACTTATTTACGCGCTGTGTCACGTGAACTTGATATTTGGCCGCTATCTACGAACGAAAGCGAACGAAACGACGAACGAACGAACGAGCTTATGATTGTATGGTAAGTTTTTGTATATGCACATATCAAAGAATAAAAGAGAATATGTATATGTGAAAGTAACACATGTTAATGTAAGATAGACGTCAATTTGAAAAAGAAGAGCTAAAGTATAACTAGTATATCACTTACTAGATTTTTATACTTACAATTAATTTCAAATACATATGAGTTTATTTAATGTGATACTTTCATATGTGCACGTATAGGATATTCCAAGACTCAGCTTACTGAACTTAAATATTGTAATTATTGTTGCTAAGTATTTGAATTGACAGGCATAATTTTGTAAACAATCAATGTTACTCTGGAGATTAACATTTAGAAATAAGAAAAATTTTCTTAATTAATTGACGAATAATTTGTTATTTTATTTATACTTTTATTTTTTAATAAAACTTTTGGAATACCCTGTATGTAATAAAAAAAAAAAAATAAATATATTCTTTATATGTTTTATGTAGAATAGACTTGCAACGCGTATAGGACGCGTATCATTCTCTATTTTTCGAGAACGAAACCGAAAAGGCCGGTTTAGGGGCCATAAAACATTTGTTTCCCTCGCCACTACTTGCCACGTAGCGTACTGGTATATTGCGTTTCACTTTCTCTTTTTCTCTTTCTCTCTTTCCTTCTTTCTTCGTTTCCTTTCCACTTGGCGGCAACACCAAGCGCGGGATTTTGAATTGAATTTGAAATCAGGGGGCTCGATTTTATGGTGGTTGGGTGTCAAACGGTTCAAAAGTATCGCCTACGTCTCAAACCCTCCCTCTCTCTTTCTTTCACGGTGCCGAAAAGTTCACTTTTTAAGGTCGAACAATCGGTTTATTTTCTTTCTCGTACTTTTTCCACGGAGCTTGCATACAATCTTAGAAAATCGTTCGATTTCCCCCTTTCTTCTTCTTTTTTTTCCCTATTTCAAAAGAAAAGTTATAAGCACTCGTACATACGTACGTGTATTTTTTTTTTTTAGAGGAAAAAAAAGTTAGGTTCGTAAAAAAATCAGTTGATTTAAAAAAAAAGAAAAAAAAGAAATAGACGAATCTCTTTAAAAAAATGTTAGAGTACTTAAAAGACGCGTTGGGCGTCAACAAAATTCAACGAAACGACGTGTTTAGAGAATCGCGTATCTCGGTGATGACTCACGGAAGAGCAACTTCGAAATAGATCGTTTAACTTGTCCTCCGTCTGCTATTCTACCGTATGTACATCCCGCAGTTACAAGGGAAAGAGGAGAGAACGAGGAAACATATGCACATATACTAGTATACTTGGGTAAGCGAAAGAGTAGGAGAGATTAACAAACAGAGATAAATATCACGTATACAGAGTGTCTAAAGTTTTTTCGTAAATACTTTACGAGCGTATTCTCTCTATACTGAAAAATAAGACAAAAATGTTCTATAAACATAAGATATTTGAAGTTTTATACCAAAGTTATAAAACATAAATTGTAAAAATATTTGAATTTATCTATTATTCAAAATATTGCCTGTCTACACGAATACAAATTTCACCGTACTATAATATTCTGTTTCTGATATAGCGAATTTTTTTTATGGTTTTCTATTAATTTCTACAACAGCATCCTTAATTCGTTCTACCATAACATCAAATGTAGCTATCGCAGTTGCATAAACTTCTTGTTTTAGTTTCTTCCATTTAGTTGGTTAATTTAGCTTGCCAAACTATTGTACAGAGAATAATACGTTGAATCACTTTAAAATAGTAAACAATATTGGCAGAACCCCTAAATATCATCTTTGAGCAGCACGTTTAGACAATTTTACAATTTATGTTATAACTTTTGAATAAAGTTTTTAGTGATTGATGTTTATTGAACAATTTTGTCTTATTTTTTAACGTAGAATACACTTTACAACGTGTGTACGAAAAAATCACCTCAGATACCATGTATATATACAATGTATATATACATATACAATAGAAAGAGTGAATGAGAAAGAGAAAGAAAGAAAGAGACAGTAGTTTGTTCTTTGATGTCAACGAGAGAACGACGAACGAAGGATTTCATTATTTAAGAACTTGTAATATTTTCAACAGATTTTCACACGATATTCTTTTCTGTATCACCTAGTCTAAACAAAAAATTCCCTAGCGAATGCCCAACAAAGATTAACGCGTGTTGGATTCATTTCATCCTCAACCGGAATAATTATTATATATTCTTTTTTTGCTTTATTTATTAATTTGCAACATGCACAAATGAAATGATAAATTAGTTCGATGTCGTTGTTCAGTTTTATTGAGATTCCTTACCTGATCGTTGTCCTGTTGATCCTGACCGTAACCGGGGATGTCACCATTGGGGGTTGTAGCAGCGGAGGGTCGTTGCGACGTCGACAAGTTGATCGCACCGTCTCCGTCTGTGTCATGATCCATCATGCCATCGTCCTGAAATAATGATCATACTTACGTATCGGTAATACGATTGTTTCAATCGTTCTAAAGGATATTTCATTAGAAGGAATTAAGAAATACACTGATGAAATATTTTAAATAAGTGTATGCAATATTTTAATGCATGTATACATCTATTAATATGTTTAAGTACATATATGTACACCCTCATGAATATACGTGAACGAACGTTGATGCAACCTGATGCCCGTCGTTAATAAACACTATGCGAAAACAACTATGGTTTGCGTTATTGTTGTGTCTCCAACGAGAAAGAGAGAGAGAGAGAGAGAGAGAGAGAGAGAGAACACTGAATTAATTTGTCCAACGAAATTATGCGAGAATCGTTGTAAGGATGAAAACAAAATTCCAAAGATTAATCTGATATTTTGTAAATTTAAAATTCATTCATATTTGTTGGATCTATACTACGACTATTTGTAAATATAAACTCATAAACAAGTATAAAAATCTAAAACCTGAACATTCGCGAAAAAAAGGGTAACAATTTTTCAACATTTTTACATTCCTTATACTCATAAAATTGAATTTGATTTAAAAATAGACGATTACGTACGTACAAATTGATTATATAAAATAAAATCAATATCTAATACAACTTCTACAATAACATAATAATAAATCACGTATAAATACATTTGCATAAAAAATTGAGAACGCTTCTTCTCGACAAATTGAAACGCTAAGAGAAACGATATGAAAATATAAAAAAAAATAAAAAGATGAAAAGAGAAACAACGAAAGAGAATATTACGAGAGACGCGAATAATTATTATCTAATAATTAAGAAAAAAAATAGGCGGCGTTGTAAAATAGTGATAAATAAAAAAGAAAAAAAAAGAAATAAAAAACCGAAGATATGACAAATATCTTAATTAGCATAACGATTATTCTTTATTCGATGGAATGTGTATATAATTAATCTTCACAGGACTGGGAATCGAATTGAATCGAATCGAATCGATCGAACGATTGATTACAGTGATCGTCGAAAATGGAGAATGAGAAAAAAAGAGAGAGAGAGAGAGAGAGAGAGAGAGAGAGAGAAAGAGGGAGAAAGAGAGAGACTGGTTTTTTGCCTTGATCGTTAGCAAGTGAGCACAACTGATTATAGATCGTAGCGTGACGCACGTGATTCTGTCTCACACACGCCGCGCGCAAAAGTAACAATGTTTCGCGTGCGGTTACGGCTTTCTAATAATAATTTCGAACTTCCCTTCCTTTCCGTTCCGTTCCACTCACTCACTCACTCACTCTTTCTCACTCTCTCTCTCTTTCTGACTCCCCTCTCTTTCTTTTTCTCGCTGAGAACGATTACGCGCATCGAAGGCAAATCGATCGGTAGTTTCACGTGGCAAGCACGAGCGATAGTCCGCGCGCGAAAAACCAGAAAGTGAGAAAAAAGGGGAGGAGGAGGAGGAGGAGGAGGTGGAGGACGAGGAGGGGGATGGGGAAGAGCGAGAGAGATAGAAGCAAAAAATTAAAAGGACAGAAGTTATAACATTGCGGGATATTGCATGCCATTGAGAATACGTTACTTGGTTTACGATAATTTTCGAAAAATTCATATTTCTTTTTTTTCTTTTTAAATGTGAATAAATACTAAATAGTTTCGCGTTAATTTTTTCTCTTTTTTTTTTTTTTAAATATCATAAAGTCGTGTGGCGCGCTGAGCTTTGTAGAGCGATTTTTTCTTTAATTTTTTCATATTTACGAGTCGACAAGACGAATCGAGAGAGAATGAGAGAGAAAAAGAAAAAAAAAAAGAAGCGAACGATAAGCTCTTGCACGTACGGAGGTAACAGTTTGATAAATAACACGTAATCTCTGTAGGATCCTTAGGTGATAAAAAAAGTACATATCGTTGGCCCCCTTTTGGAAGGCAAGTGACTACGTTAACGGTGTGGTATGTGAACTCGTTCGAGACCTAGAATGGAAGTTATTTTTCTTGGTGCGTTTTTCCTTATCATTTTTCTTTTTCTCCGTTTCATTTTCTTTGTTACGAAGAAAAATAAGAAAAACAAGGCATACGCGGGATTTATATCATATTGTAATTTTTGGATATTCTTTTCATGATCGATAGAAGGGAAATGCAGTATCAGATTTAAAAAGAAAAAAGAAATAAAGAAAAAAGAAATAAAGAAAAAGAAAAAGAGAGAGAAAAAAAGGAAAAAAAGAAACTGGAGCATAAAAACACTCGTAAAGGACACTCACGATAAACATCCGGCGAGAGGATCTCTCTCGTTCGACGAAACACCACACCGGAAGTCTCTTCTTCCTTGGCACGGTAGGGAGCTTTCCCCTACTCCCTTTTCTTTAGCACCTTCCACGCTTTCGTTATATACTTTCGATTCTCTCTTTGGAATCGGCACACTCTTTCGTTGCTCTTCATACACTAATTCTATCCCTCTCTTTCTCTCTCTCTCTCTCTCTCTCTCCCTCTCTCCCTCTTTATCTCTTTCCCTTCACATTTTACTGATACGAATTTTCAAGGACTCTAAAATTCATCGGTGACACCACAGACTTCACACTAGTGTCTTCTCGTTGGTATATCGTAAATAAAATTTAAACAAATATAAGATGAAAAAGTAGTAGAAGAAGCAGAAGAAGAAGAAGAAGAAGATGAGGATACACAAGCACGTGGCGATAAATAGATGTTGCAGCGCGCGCGCGCGCGCGAGCAAGATAGAGAAAGAGAGAGAGAGAGACAGACAGAGAGGGAGTCTCTTTTTTTCCTCTCTCTCTCTGTGTTTCCCTTTAAACGTATCGTAGGAGTTCCACGAAAAGGAATGAAAAAAAAAAAGAATAAAATAATGAATAAGAATAAAAATATGTAGAATACGACAAGGAACGTCGTAGTAGCGTAAGTTAACGCGCCGCGCGAGTAGCGAGGACTAAACACTAAATGCGGCACAAGCATAGCGAGCACGGAGAGAGCCCGAACCGGCGGGGCTGTTGCTTATTGTGTAAATATAAACAAATATAGTTGAAACCAACCAACAGGCCTGCTTTCAAGCGTTCTCTCTCTCTCTCTCTCTCTCCCTCCCCTCTCTCTTGCCCCTTCGGGTCGGTCCCCACGCTTCCCCCAATCTTCCCCGCATCTCTCTCTCGCACCGTCTCCCACCCTATCCTCACCGGCTGCCCCTCCTTCCTCCTCATTCCTTCTCCATCACCGCCACCTCTTCTTCTCTTCTCTTCTCTTCACTGCTACCGCCACTACCACGATCTTCTTCCGCCACCTCTCGCACTCGCACGCTCTCTTCTCTTTACCCCCTCTCCGATCCTTCCCCGACTCCACTTTTCCCTCCACCAAGTATACCGAGTTCTCGCGCGCGCATTCCCGCTCTCCCCTCTCTTTCACGATACCAGCCACCACCTACCTCCATCTCCATCGTCAGCACCACCACCACCACCACCACCACCACCACCACACTACTCTACTCTACTCTATTACGACCACGCTACACCTCCACGTACCCAAGGGCTAAACCACTACATCATAAGCAGCGCATCGTGGCCCTACCTCGTGTCCTCTTCATTTTTTCTCTCTTCTTACTTTTTTGTCTTTTCTCTTTCTTTTTTCGACTTGACTTCTTGGTCTTCGTCTTCTTACTATACTTCTTCTTCATCCTCCTCCTCCTCCTTCACCTCCCATATGTTCTTCTCTCAAACATACCACCCACTTGCAAGACTTTAGAAAAGAACGGTTGATACCCAGCCGTCGCACGACACCCATGATCGTCCTCCCTCCTCCCTTTAGTCATGATTAGGGCACTCTGTCTTATCTTATTTTTTCTCTTTTCTCTTCGATTAAAATCATTTCTTTTCATATTGGAATACAAACGGCGAGACAGTATAACCCCTAAATTGTTGTTTGATCCGTTGTGTTTTCATGACAAATACACATTCTATATTTGAGATTTTAAAAATATATTTATAGTCATCTGTGAGATATCTCAGGTGGAAAGAATTCGAGGTCTATAAGAATATGTGTGATTTAAGGGAAAAGAAGATAATGGTAAAAAGCGTATCTTGTTTGGACTGTTTCTTTTTTTTTTTCTTTTTCTTTTTTTTTTTTTTTTTTTTTATACAACTCTCGAATCGATGAGAAATTCCAACGAAAGATTTTGTATATTAGAACTCTTCTTTATTTTTCTTTTTTTTTCTTTCTTCTTTTATTTTATTTTATTTTATTATACCACTCCAAATATATATCCATCCACGCTGTATTCGGTTAGTCCATTGTAGAAGAATGAGAAAGAGGAGGAAGGAAGGACATGGATGGTTTGTCGAGGGAAAGGTTTCTCCCATCGGCCCGGTCCTATGACAACAAGAGTGAACGCAAAAATAGGCTAGCAGCCGGCTCTCGCTCGGCTTATGTACCAGGCCGTATACCAAATATGTATTTATTAAGTAAACATGAGGGGCCCAGGCACATTTAAGGACCCCGCCGCCACTGCCGTTGCCGTTGCCATTGCCGTTGCTGTTGCTTGCCACATCTATTTCATCGTTTTGTATTTCAACGTGAATAATACTTCCCTCGACTTCGTCGGGCTCGATGATGTTGCTACAATCCATAATAATCCTGTGAGATTATGCCAAACATTTTCAGGGTTTTTTACCACGTTTACTTGTACTCCGTTATGCGTGTATTGTATACGTGTGCTCTTTTTTAAAAAATAAAAAGGAAAAAAAAGAAACGAAATATATTATCGTCGTTGAGTTTTTAACGATGAATTGTACGTAAACGTTGTGAAAACGTTGAGAAAGAATAATCGGTTATCTGTTACGAGGGTTTAGTTAAGAACAGATAACGAGGGTAAGAGAATAAGAGAGAAAAAAAGAGATAAAATACAACATGTCCTACCCTCTCGATCGAGTTCTCATCGCGTTCGTTTGGAGAGTCCTTCGTAACTCGTTACGCCCACGCACGTGGTGGATGAGGATGAGGATAGTTAAAAAGTCGAACAGTG